TTGACACCGAAACCACAATTGGAGCCTCCAACAGATCTCCATACTAACGTACAAAGAATATCAAGAAATAATATCCAATCATGTTCAAATTTAGCCATGCAAAACACTCCAGGCATGTGTTAGATAAATATATATATATATATATATATATATATATATATATATATATATGGTGGATTTAGCAATGAATCTAGTTGTGTTGGGTCCAAAATTTTAAGAACCAAGGGGCAAAATGCCCCACGGAATTCATGAGCAAGAAACTTTGTATGGATTTCTCTCCAAAAGAAAAAAAGGAACTTTATGTCTTGAATTTGATAGAATAAATGTGATATTTTCAAATATGTGCAACCTTAGTTAATACATCATAAGGAAAGAATAAAGAAAATAAAGACAAAATATTGTAAGCCAATATTTACAAAATTATAAAGACAATAAAATTCAACACTCCCCCCAAGTTGGTTTATAGATGGCTCCCATAGCCAGCTTGTCAATCAGCTTATTGCAATCAAGTTTATGCCAATGATGGGTAAGTTGGAGAAGAACACAAAGGCCTGTGGCTATGGTCAGAATGTGGTGACACAAGCATATGGGTCAAGGCGAAACGAAAAGATTGATGTCGAAAGTAGGATGCAACAATCAAGAATGGTGCTAGGTTTCGGCATCAGCTGTTAGGGTTTCAAAAACGGTAGTTAGGGTTTTTAGGGTACTAGAGACAGCTACAAGTGACATGTGCTCTGATACCATCTTAAATTTGATAGAATAATGATGATATGTTCAAATATATGCAACCTCGGTCTTCTTACATAGGAGAAAGACCAGTACAATTGAAGGAAAGAATAAATACAACAGAGACTAAAAATACTGAACTAATTTTTACACGATTAAGAAGACTAGAAATTCCCACCATATGAAAGTTGAAGGCAAATATAAGTTAGTTATTCTTAGTTGATGGAACCCATTGCATCCAATTGCATGATCCTAAAGTCCATCTATCACTACAAGGTTTAGGTTACCAATAGCATGTATATCTTTCTTCTTCATTTTTCTACCATGAGTATCCAAACCAACCACACCTCCACTAATCCCACAAAATAATTGTTGGGCCCTCAAACATGTAGTCGTCAAAAAATTTATTCAAATCTTTGATAGATCATCACCATGTTGTCTGAACATACACCCCAAAATTGATTTACTTTTTCTTTACTTGCCCAATAACAATCAGGAGACCTATGGTGGTTCAAGATCCATATTTTTTCAACTGTCTGGTTTCAATCATTCCATGTTCATAAGATGTAAGTCATTATATCTACCCCCCCCCCCCCCCCCCCCCCCCC